AAGATTTTACAGTTTCAGTAATCATTGGCCTTTTGCAGAGGTTCTCTTTGCTATATGAACAATTGTTTGTAAAATCTCAAATATGAAAGGAGAGTAATCAATGCACGTAAAAACTTGAAAGTAAAAAGTTGATTCTTTAAACAGTCCAATGGCAATTATTGATCAAAATATCAATAAGGGTCCATATTCCTTCTGTGAAAATAATAAAATTAATTTTTTTACCCATTCATAATGGAACGAATTAAATATTGTAATTAATTATGAAGTTGTTGAACCTTTCAGAACAACACTAAAGTAGAAGAAAAAAAAATGAATACATTTTAGACTTGCAAACAACATAATCTTCTTCTATAGCAAGCAAAACAAAGTTCTGTATGCTCTAAATTGAACAAGAAACACTACAAGCCACTAAACCTTATCTGCTAAAACAGGACAGGACTTTTGAAAAACTTATTTAACCTTGTTTCTTAAGGGCAGTAGAATCTGAGTTTTTTTTTTTCCTTTTTAATACTAAAATTCAGTAGTGTGGAAAGCTAACATCTTGATTATGTCATTATTTTCTCTAAGTTACACATGCTATTCATTTTAGCAAAAGTCCTCAAGTGATATTGTTGCTGTTATTTATGTTTTTAGTGATTCTGTAGTGCCAATCAAAAGGTTCAAAAGAGAGTGGTCTGTGCTAAGACTTAATTAACGGCTTCATTTGGTCAAAGCTATTTTTAATCATTGAATACCATAGAACCGGTAGAGCTCATCTGAACATTTGTGATGAAAATAACAATAGCCAAGTAACATTGTGTCTGTGGGGAAAGAAGCTGTTGAGTGGGAAATAAGTCACCGCCCCCGCAAGACCATGTAAACAATTTTGAACCCTATCGAGGCTAGAATGTGAGGATTGCATAGCTCCAGATAAGACATGGCAGCAGTATGCTGATTTTGGTCCGACTTATGTAAAGATAAAGCATGGTAGAAGGAGTCAGGTACTTTCTGACCACTTGAGGTCTGCAATGAACTTTAATCTCGATAGACATTCAAAGCATAGAACTTCTTTGAAAGTACAACTATTCATTGTGATGATGAAATGAGAGTATCTTGGTTTTAGAGATATTCAAAGTTACACATTTTTTTCCTCTACCATTGAACTGTTAAAGTTAGACCAGAGAGATCAGCTGTAAGGCTCGAGACATCTTGATTTTTGGAAGCTTTCAGAAAAAAGGTTAAAAAGCATTTTTTATATCAAAGAGAGTTTATCTATATTCAAAATAGCTAAATTTGATCTTCAGAAATTTGGTAGTTTTTGTTATTAGAATCACAATATCTAAAGTTTGCCCATTATAAATTTAAGAATAAAAATGCAGTTAATATTTTTTTCTTTCATTCCATTGAACAAAAGTAGCAGCAAAAACAAGTTTAAAACAGAAAATTAATGGGGTAAGCCATTAACAATTTAGGAAATGTGTGATGTATTTAAAAGTAGTTGTCACTGCTGAAATAATAAAATACATTTATTTATTCCTTGATTTTTTTTTTTAAATGTTATGAAATTTTAATCTTCAAACAGTTCCTTCTTTAAAAGTCTGAAATATAAATTGTATTTAAACATTTAAAAAAAAAAAAAAAAAAATCATTAAAATCTACCCTGCACATGAATTTAAATTATTTTGCACAGATTTGCTGTGAAGAAAAGAAAAAATATTCATTTAACCTTTAGCACTCTGCATTATTAATATTAGTTTCCCTTTTTCCATTGTATTGTTTTTCAAGTATCCTTATTGTTAATTTCACTCAAAGGTGTATAGCAGGATATAGCAACACAACTATGAAATTCAAACAAATTCAAATTCAGGGATCAGTGTCACCTTCCGTGGCAGGATAAATTTTTTGTACAGCAAATGAAGTCACATACAGAGTGAGAAAGGTTAAAAAGAAGTTGCCTCAATTTACAGATATCTAAAATGATTTTTGCTGATGTTCTAACATTTCTTAAAAATCAAAACTTACATAATTTTTGCTGCAACTGTTGTTCAAAGAACAAAAGCAAAAAGTAAAGAAAATTAGAAAAACTAAGAAATTGATAAAAAGGAAGAAATTAAGGAGAGAAAGAAAATAATCAACAGGTTAAAAAATAAAAATAAAGAGAGAAAGGAAAGAGATAAAGAACTGCCAATATCACAGAAAAAAAGGAGAAAAATTTCAAGATAAATTACATTCATCTAAAAAAAATAAAAACCAAAACAACATTCTTGTTTTTCTTCTTTATATTTTTCTTTTTTTTTTTTTCCTTTTTTTTTTTTCCCTTTTTTGACATTGATTTATTAGAAAAAAGATTTTTGTTATTCTTTTCCGTGGCATCTGTGCAAGTGCAATAGGACTTCTTTTCAAGGAGAAAAGATCTTTAAAAAAATTTGGCTTTTTTTTTTCTCTCCCCTTTTTAACCCTCCCTCCCTTTCCCAATCCTTCAGAGAGAAAAAGACATGGGATTTTGTGGACTGGAGAGGGAGAAAGAGAGATAGGGGCAGGGGGAGGGAAAATCCATTTAATGAAAATAAGAAAAAAAAATTAATTCTTGCTTATTTTGTTTTTCCATTACTTTTGAACTAATTGGAGGTCAGCTGTATAAAGAAGTCCCAGACAAGCAACAAGTAAATGTTTCTCCAAGATGCACCACAGACAAATAACAGGAGTAAAAACTTCCATTCTCTCAGTCCCTCACACATACAGAAAGACACATACATACATACAGATACTCACACACTTGCAATATCACAAATCAAGCGCTCGTCTCATCATTTGTGTGGCGGTTGTCTTCATAATATACAGTGTTGATAATAATTTTTTTTTTTGTATTTTCCTTTTAAGTTCTATCATGAAGATTGTTGTTTGCTCTTCCTTAACAGTATATTTACATGGCCAGTTAAAGAGGAGTGGCTCTCACCAGACCCTCAAGGCAAGTAACCATTTCTACAGGAGGCGCCTTGTGAATTCAGGGAAATAGAAATTTTGCGTCTAAAAAAATTAAAAGATAAAAAAAGATAACAATAAAGAAACAAACTGTTCACAAAACTGAAGTTTTGTGAGATATAAAAGTAGACTTCAACAATATTTTTTGTTTTATATATATATATATATATATATATATATATATATATATATAAAATAATAATAATTATTGTATTAATAAACTTATTTTACAGTACAAAACTACCTGACATTTAATTTAAAAAAAATGTTAAAACCTCTTAAAATCAGCTTGTGTAAGTCACAGAATTTCATAGAGTTAAAAGTTTTTTTTTTGTTTTTTTTTTGTCTTTAGCCAGGATTTTGTAAACATTAACCTTCCCAGTATTATATATGTATATGTGCATGTATATATCTGAGTAACAGCAAATATGATATTTAATCATCCTGCCTTGTTTGGCTTTAACAACTTTTTTTTTGTTTTTTTGGTTTTTATAATTAGTTGTTGGACAAAGGCAAGTAAACTGTCACAAAAGTATTAAAAAAAAAGAGACGACCCAAAATGGATATACATCCTTTGTGCAAGAATTTTTCTAGGTAATTCTTTAAAATGTGGGCAGGGCATTAGAGAGACCTTTGAAATTATAATTCTTTTCAGTAGGGCAAGTATTTATATGAGGCTAGCTGTTTGAGAAACAATTTTGTTGTTTTATTATTCTGGTCAGTAGGAGACTTTTGTTTTGTTTCAGCAAGAATTACCTTAGACAGAATTTCCCTACCCCAGATAAGTCAAAAGGGGTGGGAATGGCATAAGGGAACCAGTACTTTCCCTTCCCCCTTTGGAGGCACATTTTTAAAAATAGTTTCATATACACATTTTATATATGTCCTTTTTTCTTTTAATTATATATATATATATATATATATATATATATATATATATATATATATATATATATATATATATGTATGTATGTGTGTGTGTAGCAAAGGCAAACACAATCATACATACATGTACACAAACAAATATATATGCATAATTGTGCATTTTCACAGGCAGAGTAAAATCATCCTATTTAAAATTACCTTTGAGGTCTTTATTATTATTATTTTTTTTTTTATTTATTTATTTTTTTTTTTTTTTTACATTCCTTACATTTTTCCAGCATTTTATTTCTTAACCTGCTTGTCTCTGACAAGAGAAAAAATGGGAGGGCTGCAACATACCAGTTACTTGTCTTTGGAGATTTTTTTTTTTTTTTTTTTTTGTCTTCAAATATTTAAACCAAAAATATTTGGTTCAAGAAGAGAAAGAAAAATATATAAAAAAATAAAGAGAAATGTAAAAACAAAGAAGAAGAAGAAAAAAAAAAGAATCTATTTGAGTTGATGCGTATAACATTGTTATTGTTTTGGATAGTAGCATCCATGTATTTACAAGGACAGCTTTGGTACAAAATGATAAAAATATCTGGACAACAGCAGTGACAACCAATTAGCATTGTTGTCTTTTACATTTTTTTTTTCTTTCTCTAGTTACTTGCTTTGTTGAAGATGGTTCCCTTCTTAGGCCCTAATGCCAAGAAAGAATTAAAAAATGGAAACCTTGTCCTTTAGGGACCAATTGGCAAAGTGGACCAAATGAAAGAATTGAAAGGGTTTTGAGGAGCAGAAGGAGGAGAAATAGAAAGACAGACAATAGGATGGCGAGATAGTTGGAAAGGGACAGCCATCTTGATGGCTTGTGCCGAGCCACCCTAGGATGAAATAGAAATTTTGACATTTGTTTTTCGGTCAGACAGCGAATGTCCAGGTAAACGGTTATCATTAATATCATTGTTGCTGTTATAATAATCATAATTAATTTTTGTTCTTATATTTATAAGGATTATTGTCTTTCAGTTGATATTGCTAGGATTAAGCAGCGTGTCCCATCCCATTTGGTATATTTATTTCCCATAGGGCATGGGGCACCACCAGAACTTGGAGAATTAGAAAAATGAGGTCAAAGAGAAGGGCGTGGACAGGGAAACAGGGCAGCTTCATGGTCGATGGAATCTGTAAAAGAAAACAAAAAGAAAACATAAATAGTAAAAAAAAAAAAAATCCACAAAGGAATCAATTGGGTAAACATCATTTTATAGCCTAGATGCCTGTTCATAAGTAAAATTTTAACCAACCATAATTATACTAGCATAATCAATTAGAAAACCAGATATATCACAATGCAAGAAAAAAAATCATTATTTGAAAGACATGATTTCCTCTCTAAATATCTAAAATGAATACAATCACAGGAGTTCAGAATATACTTAGTCAGCAATTGATACAATCTTCAGTTGGTCCATGAATATTGATTCTATCAGAAGTGTTGCTTCCAAGCAATTAAGAATCTATTTTACTTTTGAGAATTTTTTTTCCCAAAATAGGTTAAAAAATCTAAAATGCAATGTCAATTGTCATTCTGCTATTTTTAAGCTTTTTCTTTTATTGTCCTTTCACCTTAATAACATTTTCTCAGTTTCTTTCACACTCAGTAACCTCTTACACTTTATTAGTTTCATCACCTTGCTTGGATTAAAAGAAAAAAATACTAATTTATATAAAAATTCTTTTTAATCAAGACTATCTTCATTGTTAACTGGATCATTTTTTTCTCATCTTTCCTTTCCCAAGGACATTCGTGCAAAATGAATGTAGATAATCTCATAGTTTGAATTTGGTTTACAGATTCCATTTTCCATTAAACCAACTGCTTGGCTACCAGCATTGTCCTGTAGTAACCTTTTTTTTTAACATAAATAAATAGATGCTTACAAGGTGTTTCCAGGTTATGTATAGTTGCATAAAAAGATGTCTCTTTTTGCAGAACATTAAACTGACCTATAGTAACCTCTAATGATCCCAGATGATAGTGTCACCTTGTGACACTATGACTGGGATACCCACATAGAAAGGGAAGATGTGAGATTTGATTGCATTAGTCTGTTCTGGACCACCAGTTCATGGGGCAGTCTCAGGCAGTTCCAATGTTACATGTTTGAGTTGCCAGCCACATGTTGTAATTTTGAGATAGAAAGTTGGTAGGAGGAAGAGTTAAAGGAAAGAGCTGTTCTGTTAGACTGACATGGTAGAAGTTGTCCCAAGTGTGACACACCTATCCCCACCCAGACTGAGCAAGCCAATCTCTGAAATAAACAACAAAATGTAATGGAAACAATGGTCTGAGTTCTCATTTCTTGCCAGGTGTGCTCAGAAACAAGTAGCTAGACATCATTATTACTATTTTATATATATATATATATATATATATATATATATATATATATATATATATATAAGTAGGTTTGGTTAAATAATTTAGACGTAATTATGTCTATTTATTTTAGTTTTAATTCTTTCAAGTCCACAGGGGTTAAAATATCTGTGCATGTGTATACAGTAGGTCCATAAGTTCAAAATTTTTCCATTGTTCGTTACAAATTTGTAACAAAAAGTGAGAACTTATTTTGAATTTACAGTGTTAATGCATAGCACATCTATAGATATGCAACCCATGAAGATGGTCTCTGATGAGATTGAAAGTACTTGGGGAAAATAAAAATTATTTGAAAGAAAATTTTGGTATTTTTCTTGATCAATTTTCTATGGCCACCAAAAAATTAATTTGTGGAATTGAAAGAATTAAAACTAAAATTGAATGAAAAATATGCTGCCTAAATATACACGCATATATATATATATATATATATATATATATATATATATATATATATATCACAACATTTAATAAAACCCACCATTCATCTATCAATTTGCAATAAATGATGCTAATTCTTAACTATTCCTCTTGGAGATGGTTAATCTTTCGCAGTTTTGTCTCAGGCACCTAATGTTCTAAACACTATTGAAGTTCAAAGAAACTGCCCAATGCGTTATTTCAAACTAGAAAGACAGATTTCATACAGGCAGCAACTGAAAGGAGATAAACCAACAATAAGAAAATTCCAAATAAACAAACCTTGTTAAATGCCGACTGTCTTCATGCACTTCCATTTCCTTACTTTTGTATTCATTGAGCTCTTTACGTATTGCCGCCTAAAGAGAGAATAAAAAAAAAAAACAAAACATCAATTCACCAAAAGTGTCATTAAGTTTGCCCAGGGTGCAACTAAGAACAAATTGTTCACACACACACACATATATATTACAATGAATCATGCATACAAAAAGTAAATTAGTAAAGTTAATGAGATAAAATGACAAAATCACTTCGCTAACTAAATTTTAAAAATGCATTAACTCACTAACCACATGATGAATGTTATGATCCTTGTTTTTTAAAATTATAAACTGTATTAGGTCTTCCTTAAATATGCAAGTACTTTCGACAGGTTTTCTAGGCATCATCAGGCATGGAAACTATTGTTTTTGTTAAAATTCAGATAGCATCCAAAACAAAAAAATATAATGCAAATCAAAATATGTTTTTTTGAAGCGTGTTATTGATAACAGATACAAACTTGTGGAGCGTGCAGTCACAAAGCTAAGGTTGAATTTTTTGAAAATTTAAGTGAGAGTGTTTTTTACTAATATGGCAATTTAAGAATTTTTTTTTTGTTGTAGGTGTTTCTCAGTCAACATGGCATGAACTAAATAGTTCAATAACTAGAGCAATGCCTCAGTTGTTTTCCCAAAACAAAAACAAATTCTTAAATTGCCATATTAGTAAAAAAACACTCTCACTTAAGTTTTCAAAAAATTCAACCTTAGCGTTGCAACTGCAACTGCAGGCTCCACAAGTTTGTATCTTATCAATAATACACTTTAAAAAAAACAAATGGAGATGGACATAAGAATCAATATTGTATGGTAATTGTCAGTTTCACAACTCACTGTAATCTTCAAACCAAGCTTGCATTGAGGAGTAAAACTGACAGTCACCAGGCAGTGTTGAGACCTGTGTGTATATGTAAATGGTACATGGACAAGTAATTAGAATTTTCACTTTCTGGTTCAAGTTTGAAACTCACCGTGCTCAGTTTGTTGACTTCTAGATGTAATCAGCCTGGGAAGGCAATATCATTGTATGGCATCTTTGTACCTAAAAACCACATCATAGGTTGGGGATAATCCAAGCCTTGTGTAGGAAATTGGGTACATGAAATTGTTTGGAAGCCATCATGACTGAAAATTTGAGTGTACTGGTGTTGTTCAAACTGCTGATCATGCCAGATTATGCACTCTTTTCTAGAAACTGTAACTAAAGTCTGCCCAGCATAGTTGCAGCATAAAACTGGGTGTTGAACAAACCCAAATGTGCCTGAGCAGGCATCTACAACATTACTGACTAGCTGCCCTAGCAGGCTGGTGTATTCAGAAACTGAGTAACCGGACATTATATACATGGGGCACCAAGTAATTGACAATAAATTATGAGGTAAAGAAAAACAAAGATATTAAAAAAATAAATAGGTATATTTTCAAAAAGCATTTGTGTAACTATCTCTGGTGGGTGGTGGTCTCTTAGGTTCTTGATATCTTGGTTGTGGCCACCTAATTTAACACAATGACTGGGATGATCAAAGGAGTTAAATATAACCCTACAACTCAACAGCAGAACTCTTGGTATCCCTCCCAGCTGTAGAACCATAGTTGGAGAATAGGGACTCTTTGACATCTTGTCACCCCATCACTGACCTCTGTTTGGTGTCAGCCTTTTTAACAGTCTATATAGCCTCAGACTATTCATATAGAAATCTAAACTGTCACCTAATCACCAATGATGTATTAGCATGATTTGACCATTAATTTAAGTTCATTTCTTCCAAATTATTCTTACTAAGAAATCATACCAATCCAATGGACAGGTATTTATGAAAACAACTTAGACTCAAGTTTTAATTTCAGCTAAGTCATTTATTACTTATCATTTTGGTCTGACATAGTGAGCATAGTGGGTGGTTATTTACAATATTTGAGTTAGATTTCTTTTGAACCCTTCAGTGCATCTAATTTGTGGAAACTAATTCTCTTAATTATTTTTCTACATTTAATTCCAATAGTGAAATACATTCAAGACTTCTCACACATTTTTCTCTTGGTTTTATAATAGAAAACCAGGTCTTTTTATATTTAACACTATTTGAACTTCGCAGGGTACTTTAGGGTACTACTCGCCCATACGAGTATGTGTTACCATCTACCTCATCACATTTATACACATGTTCAACTAATAAAACACAGTCACTCCTTCAATTCAGAGTTTCACCACCAGGCAATGTAAATTTCATAAAGACATGTCTTGAAAGTACATACATTGACTGGAGGCAATGTAAGCTTTGTAAAGTTGTATAACTGTCCACAGCAACAGGAGTGTTAATAATAAAAACATGTAGGCAACAATAATCTGTAGTTAGTGCAACTAATAAAGATTACAATTCAAAATTTGTTCAGTGAAATTTTTTTAAAAAGCCTAAATAAAAAATATATATATATATATATTACCTTATCTTTAGGTGTTAACCTCGTCCAAGGTTTATCTGCTCTCCGGTCATAGTCCTGAGCTTCTGTTACTTCAACATAGTCATTAAATTTAATGATTTTCCTTTCTTTCAATTCATCTATACTTGGTCGGAAGCTTAGCTACAAAACAAAACAGGAAAAACAATGTCATTCAATGCAAACTGTGTGTATGAGCATTTATGGCCAAATGTTAAAAGCACCAATTCTAAGCTTGATCACCGAAGTGGCGATGAAATAGATCACAACTTAAATGGGTGACCACTTCAAACATTAGGTACCAATTTGTGACCTAGTGTCAGACCAAAACAAAATTTTGTAAATATTATGTTTTTATGGATATAAAAATATTTCAAATTAATTGTATAGTGTTTATAATTTATTTCCAACAATTGAAGTAAATCCCAAGAAAACAGTCTACAAACAAATAAAATTCTATATATCAAGAATTTTGTTTACTTTAAAAAATAAAAAAGTAGATGAAAGTAATGTTGACAACAGGAAACTTAAAGAAAGAATATTCTACCTTCAGACCTCTCTAAGTACGTAATTTTTTAACTTTACTTGGTGTCTATATAGATGACCTGAAGAGAATTGCTTCCAACATAAAATGAAAAATGTATCAGAATCAATCTACTATTGTTTTTATTTTCAGGCTTATTTACATTATTTATATGAAAACTATTTTCCTCATTTTTGTTGTTATCACTATGTTTCGACCACTGTGCCTTATGGCCTTCATCAGATGTAATTTGATCCGGGTAACCTACAGGCAATTTTAAATTAAACCCTTTATTTAATCTAGAGGTAGATTGTTCTTGTTCCACTGTCCATGTCTTGTGATATTTTTGTCTAGTTCTTATTTAGTACTGCTCATTTATTGCTTGTCTTGTTTCTACTAAGTTCAATCCACACTGCTTGGCCTAGGGATTGAACTTACAATTATTATGTCACCAAATTCACAAACCAATGCTTTAATTAACTATGAGGAAGCCCAGAGAGCACAATGGCCAAAACATTGAGATAACAAAAACAAAGATGAGAACAACAATCTGCATGGAAATAATGATAATTTCTCATCCCAGAAGTCCAGATAGAAATATTCAGGCTTATTTGTTTTCCTTTTGAACTCTCAAACATTACCAACTACAAGATTATATTCAGCCTTTTTCCTTATACAAACTATGTTTATAACTAGTTCCCAAGATCTAGCTTTCTGCAGGAGAATCATTGCCAGTTATTCAAAATAAACACCATTTACTTCCACTTTCATGATTATACTTCCTGCTATTATCTTCCTATCAATGTCAGGAAGATCACAAGGTCATGGGAATTCCTTCAATAAAAGATAAAGAGAAATGTTTTTGCTTTTTTAAAGATGCAAATAATTGATGAATTTTATGACATATATCTAGGCTGTTGAAGTTGGGAAATATTCTTTCTCATTGCCACACATACAAACAAGAGACATACACAAAAAAAGAAGCTGCCAAAACTAACAACCTTAATGGAAGTTATTTGGAATTTTGTTTCCTACAAAAACAAGTCACCAAAATGTTTCTTTGTGATGGCAATAATAAAATAGATGATGCTATTATATGAATTTATAAACTGGGAGAACATTTAACAGTTAAAAACAGGGACTGAAAAATAAGATATTTTCAGTGTGTTCATTAGTTTAAATAACTTTGACATTTTTCATCTACAGAACCAACCACTCGCAGGTACAGCTCATGTGATAGAAGAGAGGTCTGAGGTTTTAACAAAGATTGAAACAAATTTTAAACAAGTGAAAGGGAGTAAAATTCATTAGGACCAAAAACTAACCAAGCCTTGATATTCCAACACAAGAGAAGGAGAAGGAAAACAGTTGTTAAAGCCAAAAAGATTCTTCTCATTAATACTTCAGCCACTGAGATGAGAACTTTATTGTGGCATTTATAATAGTAACATTAACAGCTTCCAATTTTCATCAAATAAAATGTAAATATTTAGTGGCTTTTCGTTTTATATGGATATAATTGTAAGTGATGGAAAATTTAATTGTATTTGTTAAGGTTGAGATAAGGTCAACAATTTGAATTGTCTGTCTATATTTCTGAGATGAGGTATTGTAACTATTTACACTATTTACATTATTTTAACCATTGTCCTCATCTTTATTGTCATATTCATGTTTCGGCTGCTGTATACTCCAGCCTTCTTCAGGTGACATGTTGAAATTTCGAACGAAAAACTTTTCTAGAGATCTTAGTTTTCCTTTAGTAACTAAACTCTCCATTACTAATCTCCTAAGCCAGCCAAGCATAGATATGAATACTATATGGGAACCACTAATACAAAATGTTAGAGAAAAACAACAATAAAAAAAATTGTAATATGAGGTCTGGTAAAAAATGTTTACTGAGACATCAGTTTTATAAATCCCCCAAATTAATTGAAGGTTGAAATAATCCAGTGACTTGACCCAAAGAGTTTTGAGTTCAATACCTGGCCACAGCAAAAACTTGGAGAGATGAGTTACTAAAGGGAAATAACTGAAACTGAGATATCCAGAAAAGGCATGGCACGTGGAACAAGAACAATCTACCCCATAAAGGGTTTGGTTTGAAATTTCAACGTATATCACCTGAAGAAGCCCAAAAACATTTTGAATATGACAAAGATAAGGAAAATGTAAATAGTGTAAATTTGAATAGTTTCATCTTTAGGATATGTATTTTCTTTTCTTGACCTTTTCAAAAATCAACATGTAATTTAGCAATTCACTTAAAAATAAGATTCACTAGCAACACTTTTACTCTAATTCTCTTCATTCTATGTATAAAGTGTCTAAAGTTTTTCACTAGGGAAGGAAAAAGTCTTATCTCCTCATGATGAGGAAATTGTTAGTTTAGTACAGGGGTTGGCAACCTTTTGGAGTGTCTCGAATGAGAGCCATGTTATCAAATGTACTATAATAAATTGTCTCAATCATAGACAGCTACATTTAGAAGGTTACCTTGTTCTGGATGTTTGAAGAAAAAAAAAACAATGAAGTTAATGTTATATTATTTAAACAAGGTTCCTTATTTTACTGCAGGAATAACAGGATAACAATCAACAAAAAAAATAAAAATTTCTTACTAAAAACTAAATACAGTTAGAAATAGTGAATTAATTAATGAGACAATTGCTTATTGTTCAATAACTTCTCCACATCAGGTGAAATATTTGTCAATGACAAGAGCAAAACATCACCTAACCTGAAAAAATGACTTTTATTATATGTCATTTTCTAAAAGAAGTTGTTCACAAGCATACGTACTTCCAAATAATGTCACCATCATTTTTGCATTATTCAATAGGCTTTTATATTTTCCACTTGGCAAAACATTTATTGTAGAAGTCAGCAGTGGATTTGGAATCAAATTTTGATTTGAAAAATTTGTTGTATTGTAAGTCAATTAACTCTAACTGATATTTTTCTGCCATTTACTCCATGAATTTATTACATAATTAGTGCCCAGGTGTTAAGTTGGCAGGCTAGACAAAAATCCTTCATGGACCGGATGTGGTCCAGGGGTTGCTGACTCCTGGTCTAGTATTTGTAAAATCGTTAAGTTACTTTTCAGAAAAAATGCTTACAAGCTATGTTTAATAAGGTGTTTGTCTCATTTTTAATTGAAACAATTAAACTATATTTGTGTGTGTGTGTGTGTGTGTGTGTGTGTGTATAGAGACAGAGAGACACACACACAGATTATGATTTTGCGTGTGTGTGTATTTAATGATCATTAACAGTTTAATTTTGTAAATTTCGGTCAACATGAAGTGTTGACATTAACTTATATAAATAACAATTGAGGTTTTTTTTTTTTCAACTCAACCAGCAAATTATATAAGTTGGTCTGAACGTATTTTGTTAGTTCAAACAAAAGATTCTGTTTATCATGTGACTATACTTATTGTAAGCACCCATGGCTTTGAGAAGTGGACTTTGCCACAAGCCACATAAGAATTCACTCTGCTCTTGCTTGCAAAACTATATATTGTTCTTCAAAAACCACCAGCATCAGTTATTCAAAATGGCTGCTTGGTGGGAGAGATATATTAGCTGTAAAGCTTTCAACAGAAACAGGGACATAATTATTGCTTTCATAAGCACCATGTCTTACTTTCAGATAATAATAAATGCTTATTAGTTTTAGGTGAATCATTACAAAACACACAAGGGACTGCTTTATAGATTTATACAAACAATGATGATAAAAAGGCTACATTAGTAGCATATTAAATGAATGACTTGAAGAATCATTCTGCAGCTGGAATCTATCCAGCTTGTAATTGGTTTTCTTTGTAGCAATAATGGTCGTCACTTTAATACCGAAGCTGGCCTTCAAATTGATCAATGTTTTCCCATTTGGCAAACTCTATATTTCTTGATTGTGATGCTCTGAAATGGAGCTTGCGTTATCTTATACTGGACACTTCCCTGTTTTAGGTTTTAAAACTTGATTTGTATTTTTCAATTAATAAATTTCTTTATAATCTTTGGAATAATATACAAAGTTATAAATGTTAAGACTTTGCAAACATACCAACCATTTGGCCATAGAATATTTATATTACTTTAAAATAGTTGCACTTATATGATTGTATACAATACCAATATATTATACATTAGGAACTATTTGAATGTATAAAAATTAACAAGTCTTGTAGGGAGTAAATTCCCTATATTATTTTATTATTAGTTTTAATCTATCTTATTATTGCTGCTTCCCCACACAACATTCTGGATTAATAGACACTTCAATCAATAGAACAAACAGTGCAAAATTGGAAATAAAGATATAGCCTTCAATGTGACTAACTTGCATCCTACAATTCAGGAGACTGTCTTTCATGCATGTTGGCTTCAGTTACTTTCCCAACACTAATGTAGCTTCCCTGTGCCTTTTCCATAAATAATTTTCATGGCAATTGTTCTGGTTAGCTTCCCTCTTTGGTACCTTGACTTAATAAATTTCAGATTGGATAGGTTTTATCATTTTACTGTATATATTGCTAGATATAACTTATATTCTAACAGTTTCTTCTTACACTTTCTGCCTATGGAGCTCTCTTCCAGCTTTTTGCTTTCCAGTCAACTACAATCATCAAAAATGTAAATGTAACATCAAATGTCATCATCTGTCACCTTGAATCCTGTTCTTTCCATTACCCTTTCTCATCAGTAAGGTTTCCTTCACTCTCAGAAACACTTTACATCTTAGTGGCTTTGGGCTGAAATGATTATTAAAAATCAATTGTCATAACCATTTTAGCTATTGAAGCTTTGATGATTAAGTGGAATTGCCTATCTCATATCAGTGTTTATAAATGTGCATAGTCTAAGAAGAGATTAAATAGACTGGAGTTCTCATTTCCTCCCTTGTCATACTCTTGAAGAGGTCTGAAAGGTTTCTGTATTGAGCTCCTTTGCTAGACATGTAAGATTCTGTAGATCAATACAGTTCCTATATTAGATTGATGCATTCATTGGATTTGGAGTTTGAAAGGTGGTCTCTAATGAATGAAAAGAAGTTTATTGATGTGGTTATATGATTTTATGAAGTTAACAAAGCAGGTATAATGTTTCCTATTAGAGAGGTAAACAATTTCTTGGGGTTGTTTGATGGCAAAGAATTGTACAAAATAACAGAAACTTGAGGACTACCAACAGCAGCAATAACTAAAACGTATAGCACATGTAACTCAAAGAGAAAATAATGACATAATCAAGTATTGATATTCCACACTACTTAAAAAAAAAAAAAAGGTTAAGAAGGACCTCCCCACATCAATACTATAAAAATTGATCACAGTTACTGAACTTGAAAAAACTGTTTTCCTGAAAAAATTTTTTAAGAGAAAGATATTATTAATTTCAACTGAAAGCAGTACTGGCTGCTTGGTCAATGAATGCCAAATGTTTCCTTGTAGGGAAACAGCCATTAACAGCATCATAAAAAGCATCATGAAGTTCAGTTTTATGAATTGCTAAAATGAGAAATATAATTTTAGACACTTTTATTGAGAGGTAGAATAGTAATCATTGTTATATTAACTTTGTAGAATCCTCCACCCCCCATGGAGTATAGGGACACAGCCTCACCACACCAGAAGAATAATAGAGTGAACTAAATTAAAGTAGAAATAAACAAAACACAGAAAATCAGGAGATGTCATCTTTATTGTAAACTGTACCATCATAAGTGAATGCAGTCAGCTGGCCTAAAGAGAAAAAAGCAAGTATGATAGAGTAGGAATGGTGATACCTTGAGAACTGTGAAAACTTGGGGTCAGTCATGTCAATAAATGGTATGAGCATTAACCAGAAAATAAAAAGTGTAAAATGCTCTGAAATTTTGAGATCCAGACTGAGTCCAAGAAAAAACACCAGATTTGATAGTTGCGAACAAGATGTTGGTATAACAGTAGATCACAGGATAAAGATAAAGTTACCAGGACCTCACTCAACACTTAAAGAAGCTATGAAAACATTTACGGTCAAGAGTTTGTGCCTATAATTGGAACATCTATAACAATCCCCAAAACACTGGAGGAAGTGAAAATTTGAAGAAATGTCTATAACAGTGCAGTGGTTGGTAGAATATTGGGGAAGGTGTTGGAGATTTGAAAAAATCTGCTGTACTACAAAGATATCTACATGAAAAATATGTTGTTAGAATTTTTTTTTAACAGATACATGAATAAAATAACTCGTAAAATATCAGACCAAGAAAGGAGAGCCCCAAATGTGTAAGCCAACAATACCTCAAGTCATCTATTATCAAAGAAAAACTTATCCTTATCCTGGTTATTGGCAATAAAAGGTTAATTTCTCAGATCAAATTTCAAAGGAAAGGTTTAAATTTATTGCTAAATTCTAATGTATTTATTCTAATATTTTTAGTATAATATGAAACCTTAATTTTAAACCTACAAGCCTTAAAATTTCAATAGATAATGTTCACCTATGAACATTATTGCATGATCAAATCTTCACCTCTGAATATCAGTGCACGATCAAACCACAAACTGATCAGTAAATATTGGCATATAGAAACAAATTTCAGACAACTGTTCCGTTAAAGAAAAAAGAAAGAAAAAGATAAAATACACAAAATTAATTTTTTTTACCTTCCGAATGAGAAATCGTTTCTTCTCCTCTTTTTCTTTTTTGGCCTCTTCAGCTGATTTATCTAAAAGTAAAAATAGGTAAAAAAAAAAAAATAAAAAAAATTTACAAAAATGTCACAAGTTGTCACTGAATCTTTACTTAGTGTGAAATGTTTAAGTTACATCAACAGTATATGACTGGTATTTCCCTGCCAATCAAGTAGGTAACATTGACAACAGATCCAATCAGATAGAGATTAGGCAAATGTAAGCAGGTATTTTATAGAGAATAGATTTTTAAGCAAAGAGGACATGAAAGGAGTACTTCAAAAAAAGGTGCTGAAAAGTTCTCATCTTGACTCACTTCCCAAAAACTGAACATTTTGTCACTGCTGCTAGAAAAAAAATTCCTTTATATTGTAAATTGTCAATTTGCAGGATCCTTACCATTATTTTTCAATTTGTTTCAAATCATTTACTGAACTATGTCAATAGAAAATATGGAATTTTTCCATTGTTGAACTCTAGGATATCATGAAATGCCTGTTACTGTAGAAGGAAATCCACCAGTGTATGATGCAAACATTTGTGTTTGTCATAGTCAGCTGTGACGTGATGTAGCAACTTCCTGATTTTTTTTTTTTTTTTAGACCCAAGATGGAAATTGGTCTGGATGGTTAAAAAGAGTGTTAACCCTCAAAATTACTGATCAGGTTCATGACCTAATTTGGGCTGATCAATGAATCTTGCATTAAGTTTTTTTTTTTTTTTTTTTGAGAATAACAATGATTTTTTCCAGTTACAAATCCTACTTTTTAGCCCACAGCAGAAGGTGAGGATGTGTATTTCCCCAAGGGTATTTGTGCATAAAAGAATGTAACAAATACAACAGGAACTCATCAAAATTGGCTCTCCGATTTCTCATTCTGTGCAACTTTCCATTGCACTACCTGCACATCCAATTGCTATAAGAGAAGTTGAGAAAAAGTGTTCTCATTTCTTAGGACAGTTCACTTGCCCACAGGACTTGCCAGACAATGAATGCTCTGAAGAATTTGTGTACATCTAAACTACTAACCAGATCTTGCTCTATCTCCTGTTGTTAAACCTCATTAAAACATGTTTGTAGAGGAGAAAATTTTTTCAAATGATTTAGAAGTGATAACAGCTTAGTATTTTAATAACTAAACATCAGAATTTATTCTAGAAGTGTTAAAGAAACTTAAGAAATGATACATCAAGCACTTGGTCAAGCCAAGAACTTTTCAGCACTTTCTTGCAAATCAGTCAAAACTTTTTACTGCAACAAATTTATTTGTAATGACCTTGATGCTTTTATCTCATAAAAAAACAAAATTTTAAAGTAAATTGTAAAATGCTGATCAAAACCAACAGACAATATAAATTTCTTTCTTTTTTTTAATTTTATTTATTACATAAATTGTTTGGATACTTCCTAGAATCAGTGTTAAAAGAGCACTTGATTGCTCAATGCTAACTGAACTGCAGAAGTTGAGTTAATCTGACAATCACCACTTATAGTGAAATGGAGGGGTGCACTCCAGAAGTGAAAAGTACCCTTTGGCTCTGTTAAATATGTTATTGATCCTTGTTTAAAGTTAGGAAAAAGAACACTTTTTGAATACTCTCCTAATGAGCTATGATGTTTTCACAAAATTCATCGTGAGTAATTAACAAGTCTCAATTGTCATTGGAGATTTTCTTGACTTGTGCAGTATTGTTCACACTCTCCTATTCTTTTGGACTGTCAGTAATTGGACAAAATTATGATGCCAAGAGATTCATTGTTCCTAGAATGCTTCATCAAGGTTTTAACTCTGTATGAAAATACAAAATGTCTCTTTTGACTCCTCTACTCATTTTTGTAGCATTCATAAACCAGAACATTATCCTCAATAATTAATCTACAACAATTAGAAAAGTCTATCTCGGCCTTTTTTTACTTGAGAGCACATTTGTAGAATAACTAAAGCTCTGGGGCACAATTTAAATTTTAATAAGGAAAAATCGGTTATAAAATTTGAAAATAAGGAAATAATAAAGAAGTCTCCTGAAATAAGCATTTATTTTTTTAAGACATTGTATATTTAAGTGGTATAGTTTTCATTTAAAGGGATTTACGAAGAAAATGCTTTTTTTTTTTTTTTTTTTAGAGAGGCCGATAATGACTAATTTAAATCTCTTGAGGAAAGGGAAAGGATCATTCACTCTTTTTTAAAGATTAAGGGATTAGGCATCCAGTTTAAAATATCAAATGACAAAGATTTAGACATGGAAGCCATGTGCTTGATGTCTTTAGCTTTTTAAAAATGAAGATATTTTAAATATAAAAATAATTCAAAAATTACTCTTCTGTTAACTTGGGGTGCATCTGGTTACATTTCAGGGTGCATTAGTGCACTCAGGTGCACCAGTTGATAAACACTGAATTAGAACATCAAGTATCCATTTTCACTGTTGGTGAATTTGAAAAGTAAAGACTGAAGTGAAGAAGATTACCAATCAAAACCTTTTGAATCAGAGATGTTATAAAGATAAAAAAAAATCTAAATGGTATTTTCAGAATCTTGAAGATTCTATATGTCAGAAACATCATTGGATTTTAATATGCATTTTATAATTCATCAAAAAATATATTTTAGTTTGATTTCTCATGTATTTTTAAGAGTTGTAGTGGATTTAGAAAATGTCTGAAACTCCAAGTCAGAATTAATCCAATGTTAAAAAAGAAGCAGAGGGAAGGAAGCATAAACTTGATGTTCTATTGTGTGGTAACTTGGTCAAAGGGAAATAATCAAAGACAACACAAAGTAATTTGGGTTACATGATTACTTCTCTCCACTTTCTATTTACAAAAACAGAAAAAAGTTAAAGATAAAATGCTGAACCCAAATGCTTAATAACTTGTAGAACTTCCATTATTAATTTTAAATAATTATATAATCAATAGGAATCAAATAATTCAGATAGCAAACACTGTTGTATTACAATAGCCTTAAATGATTGATTTTAAGATTTGTTCTTGATTAGAGATAGAACAGGAAAGAAATATGCAAGCAAAAAATAGAATATAATAAAAATCATAAAGAAAAAAAAAAATTCACCTGATGAAGAGAATAAATTTTCCAATTGAAGCCTTTTGTACATTATTTTTTACTTTTGTTCTAAAAGACCACAGTACTTAAGAGAGCTGAATTTTAAACTAACTCAGCCATTAACATAAATCTAAAGAAAAAAACATTTGCCACTTTTTTTTTTTTAATGAATTTGTCATATGTTTTTTTTTTATATATTCATTAAGTATGAAATAGGAAATTTTGATTCATGTGATGCAGTCAGTGGCCCTTCTACAAATTAATCCAATCATATGACAAATTTTGAATAGGTTAAATAATGTAAAAATAATGAGTTTTCTTTTCTTTTTTTCTATGAGAGAACAGAAGCCATTTTTTATTGATGTAAATCTGTACTATTATATCTTGCTATCCTGCATTAAATATAACCAACATTCAATTCTGAAAGAGAGAAGAGAAGGATTTTTTTTTTCTTAAGACTTCAAAGAGACGAGCATTGTCTATTATCTAGTAAAAGCACCTGGTATGTTTCCTTCCTCCTCATTTCATGGCTATCATTTAACCTCTGATAATGATTTTTATCTATAAAAGGAGAAAAAAAAGGACCATCTAATTTATGTAAAAATGTGCATCCATAATCATTATACAATTGGTAAGGTCATCTCTTTAATATTATCAATATTAACTGCTCACTAGGAAAGGCTTCAAAACGAATTTTACCAATTGAATATTCCCTTTTCTATCTTTAAGCAAAGATCACTAAATTATTTAAAAAGTGAACTCCCCAATTTCACTAAAAGCAGTGATAGTGACTAGGTTAAATTAACTTCTGAAGTTGCCATTAAGCAACCAAGTTCGCCACTATTTTTAGAGCACTTATACTTAACATCAGGAAGAAAGTCAAAATTCCTAGGGTGCATGATGAGGAAAGAGAGTTTGGAAAACTTGATATTCACAGGGCAGATTGATGGCAAGAGGGACAGAGTAAAACAATCCATAACCTACCTAGCAAGGTTGAGTAAATGAATGGTGCAGCAAGTTTTAGGAGAGATAACAAAATTTATTAAGAGCTACAAAGGACAGGAAATTGTGGAGAGCTATGATCACCAATGTCCTGAAGGGACACAGCACATAGAAGAAGAAGAAATAACAATAAAGTAGTGATTCATTGAGTGGGTCACCAACTATAGAAAACCTCATTTTTGATAACAGACTTATTATTAATGAATATTGTCTATCTAACACTAAGGAGGATATTGTGGCCTTCAGCCTAAGCATTTAATGATTTAGTTGTACCTACAGAAAGAATAAAATAAGCAAGCACTATTCTGTACTCAGACAAATAAAGAATGGAGAGTCAGTTCACTGGCATGTGAAGGAAGATTACATCAGTGCACACACTGTACTTATTTGTTCTTAATGAAGGTAGATTATCTGTTGTATAGGTGATATTTAGGCAATGGCATGTGACACTGAAATATGCTGTTGGGTTTAAATTGCTCAGTTGGTGACATGCTTCTTTCACTTTTAAAGGAAATCAACTAACCAAGATGCCCTGGGGCAATAGTTTCACCAGCTGAATATTGTAGATTTTACAAATACAAAAATTTCTAACAGGTCACCAAATTATCTATTGCTAGTGAAGTTTGTTATTATTTATTATTGTTGCTGTTGTTGCTCCATGATTATAGCCTTGTACCAGACTAAGTTAAACTGATTAATTGATTCATTCATTTTCTACGGCTTACCAACCCTTTGCAGGTTATTTAAAGCCAGAAAAAAATAATTTTCAGATTGTAAGAATATTTTTTTGTTTTTGAGATAATAATGGTTTTAGTGATATAAGTCTTACTAATTAGCCTATAACTGGACAGAGAATAGGTGAATTCATCCCTTTCTCAATGGTATTTGCACATAAGTGAATATAAGGAACCCAATGAGAATTAAAACTTGACTCTCCAATTAACAATTCTGAGCCATTATCCATTAGACCACACTCACATATCCAACTTTGCAGCACCTGGTATTTACAAGTGGTCAACCATCTAGGTACTCACCAGGCTTGACGTTGTTTAACTTTGCTGATCATATGGGAAACCCTAAGTTAAAGTGAGCAAAATTAAATAAGATTGGGCTCTAAGGTGAAAAGTCTTTTTTACTATTGTTTGAAAGTAATTTACCTACTCATAAATGAAGATCTGTTAATGAGTGCTACCAACTTAACATCAGGGATAGGATAATGCTGGACAGTTTCCTTCCAGATGAAGAGAAGACTTGAGGCAACAGAAATGTGGTTCTACAGAAGGATGCTGAGAATACTATGGACAAGACATTTGAGCAACGAGAAATTAAAACTTGTTCACATGTTCTGTCCACTATAAAAAAAAAAGAACACTTGTACTTAACATCAGAAAAGCAGTTGAAATTTTTGGGACACATAATGAGGAAAGACAGACTGGCAAATATGACACTAACAGGATGTATTAGAGGCAAGAGAGAAACTGCTAGTAACAATACAAACATTGCTAAGAGCTACAAAGGGTAGGAAGTTGTGGAGAACTATGATTGCCCATGTCATAATACTTGCATGGGTTATAGAGTGACAAACATTTTTTGTTCCATTATACCAGTAGGATAAACCATCAAATTTGAGATTAAAAGCATGAATCCAGAATCTTTCAATAAGTTCTCATTTTGATAATTTTATCTAATCACTGACAGACCAAAGGAAAAAGAAAATGATGGCAATGTTGGACAAGTTATTTTTATTATCATTAATTTCAATTTTTTCAGTTTTCCCCCCAATCCACCTCTGAAATGATTGAGACTTGTTAATTTCCCAAAAAGTATTTCATGAAAACTGTTTTTCCATGACAAAATATTCCTAATCAAGACAAAGTTAATGATCAATTTTTTTTTAATTTCAAATAGAAAAAAAAAAAAACTCTTCTTTTTAGATATTTTGTAGAGCAAATGTTAAAGCATAATTTGATTAATAATAATTAAAATGTTTATCAATTTTGTAATTTGTCCTGTAAACTAAATTATTTATATTTAAGGATGTTATAACTAAAAGTCATCACTGAAAACTTATGTAATATTTATGTTTTGAGGGTAAAGCTAACATTTGATGCAAATTTTGAACTCAAAAGTTTTTAAAGCTTGTTAACCATGACTTGAGCCTTATCACCATCAATTACAAAACTGGTTTTCTAATGATGGAAAAAGTCATTGGTTTACTTCTATTTGAAAAGCAGATATTTGAGTCAGATAGTAAAGATTCTAATTACTATTGACATTTATGTAGGAGGCTGACGTAAACAAATAGCATCAATTTATCGATAAGCCTTTAAGTGAAGACAGATTGTACTGCAAGCACATTTCATTAAAGTTTTACAGCATTTATTGTTGAAATCAAAGAAACAAATATTTAAGACACATAAATCTGGAAAAAGACATTAAATTTAAAATGAAAACATAATAAAGTCTGCTTTAAAAATGATTAAATCTTGTCATATGACCATGTCTAATTGAGAAAAAGATATTTTTTTATTTGAATTAAAATGCCTTTCTTGCATAATAATTAAAGACTTAATACTTTGAAGAATTTTAAATAAGTTACACTGACTAAAAAAAGAATGAAAAATAGCAAATGAATTTATAAAAGAAAAGTCTACTCATGGAACTGAAGTTGGACAGGTAGGTAGCAAATTAAAATATTGAAACCAGTAGAATTATACTTACTATGTAAGATATTTCTTTGTTCAAGTTCTTCAGGTGTGGGCCGTAAGCTTAACCGCCTGTAAAAGAAAAAAAAAAAAAAAATGAAGACAAATAAAATCTCACAAGGGAAAAAAAAAAAGCCAACAAAATTCACAAGAACTTATAATGGGAAACAATGAAGATCAGGCAGCCTACATTTTTGAAGTAACAGAAATTTTAACATCCAGTACAAGAAGATTGTTTATTCAAAAGTAATTTGATAATAAATCATTATGGCAAGTATATTTATATCATATTTTTCTTATTTTCAAACAGATAAGATGTCAGTGTGTGTATAAAATAGGATATAGAATCCTGACAAAGTCTTGAAGTAATACAACAAGGTTTCCATAGGTTTCAGGTAGACTATCTACATAAACATGGCGACAAAGATGAGGACAATAGTCCGAATAATGTAAATAGTGTACATAATACCTCATTTCAGAAATATAGAGAGATACTGAAGGTTTCAGGTAGATCAAAATATTGGTAACCACAAGTTTTGAGTAAACCAACATATTGGCAAATACAGGTTTCAGTTAATCCAAAATATTGGTTAACATGTTTCAAGTAAACAAAAATATTAGTAATCATAAATTTTGGGTAAATCAAAATATCAGTAACTATAGGTTTTGGGGAAAACAAAATATTGCTAACCATAGGTTTCAAGTAAACAAAAATATTGGTAACTACAGGTTTCAAGTAAACCAGGATATCAGTAAGCATAGATTTGTGGTAAACCAAGATATCAGTAAGCATAGGTTTCAGGTAAACCAAGATATCTGTAACCACAGGTTTCAGGTAAACCAAGATATCTGTAACCACAGGTTTCAGGTAAACCAAGATATCTGTAACCACAGGTTTCAGGTAAACCAAGATATCTGTAACCATAGGTTTCAGGTAAACCAAGATATCAGTAACCATAAGTTTCAGGAAGACCAGAATATAAGGCAACCATAAGTTCAATTGAAAGGTTCTATCATTGACAATGAAGAGTTTTAGAATTGTTATGTATTTTCTTTGATATCCCTGAGAAATATTTTATCCCAGCAGTTTCATTTTGTAGAATCTTGAGCAAAATATAATATCCCAAAGTTTTTGAGACAAACTCATCAATGTCATTGAAATTATCAATAAGTAGCAAGTATTTGTTTCTGATGTTTTGCAATATGATAACAATTATTTTTATATATTTTTTCTTTTAAAAATTTCTCAATTATTAAAAAGAGCTGAGAAATTAGGAAGACATATTTTAAAATTATAAATATAGCTTTATGCCACTTTAGTTATTATATAACTGTTGTATACTGTTAAACAAGAATTTCAAATTAATTTTTTCTAGTTTAAACTTGATATGTCAGAGAAGCTGCATCCAGCCCAAAGGTAACCAGGAGTAGTAGAGAGACAAAAAAACAAAAAGAATTCCTCAGGATTTCTTATATCTAAAAGAGAAGGGAAAAAAAAAACTAATAGTGACTTTTACAAACACCAAATTTACCTATCAAAATTCAAGTAACTTATTTCTTTTAAGTTTTTAAATTGTACACTTTGATTAAGTCTACAGATCAGAACTGAATCTTAACACAATCAGTAAAATAGATGACTTTTTTAATCATTTCACCCAAACCAAGGCAATAAAGCCACTAAGACACAAAGGGTTACTGAGTGTGAGAGAATATGAGAAAAAGAGAACATTAAGGTGAGAGAACAATAAAATAACAGGAATTAAAAAGATAATGATTGACATTGCATTTAAATTTTTGAAAATCAAAATTGACTGGAAGGAAGAAGCTGGAAGAGAGTTCCACAAGCAAGAAGAGAAGAGAAGAAACTGTTAGCATAGAACCATTTAGCCATTTTCAACTAGCAGCTAATCTAGTAATACACTTAAATTCATAAAGTCTCAATACCAAAGAGGAAAGCTCATCAGAACAATTATCATGAAAGTATTTATGGAAAAGGCATTGGGAAGCTATATTACAACAATAAGAAAGTAACTGGAGCCAAGATGCCAGGTCAGATCCAGTGACATTGCAGATTCTTCTTTGTATTTTATTAGGAATAGCAATTTGGATATTAAGCAAATATCTTATTGTTAATTTCTTATGCCATTATTACTTGTAAAATCAGTAATAGCAATTAATTGAAAGAATACAAAAAGAGCAATACTTGAAGACTATTTCCCATCAATTATCACAATGATTGCTGACAATATGGCTTTAACTGCTTGTATAGCATTTCTTTTATTGGATTGCACATCTGTAGGCTACAACACTATTTTAATTGGTTACTATGATTGTCATGACATTTAACACATGACAAGTATTTAGGATTTTTTAATTTTGAAAAATTCATTAAAAAAAAAAAGAAAGAAAGATCAACTTTGACTCCCATTAACACTATCAAGTTAAAATCCTGACCATTGTATATTGAGATAAGCATCATCAACATAAAATAAACGGTGTAATTAATAAGGGTTTTTTTTATGAACATAGTTTGTTTCAGCATAGTAAATTATATGTACTTCACTAATGTTTAAGTATATTTGAAAAGATTTTATGAAAGGATTTCAAAAATTTTTATTATGTTGGTAAAGAAAAAATATTACACCAGTTTTTCTTTTATATAAATACATGATTTCATATTTTTACTGATGCTCTTTTTTTCTTATTTATTTTTTGTTTGAACTTTTTTTTATTTTTACTTATTTTTCTGTTTTAAATTATATATATTTTTTTTATTTCTAATAATTTTTTCTGTTTTAACTCATATTTTTTTTATTTCTATTTTTTAAATTAATACTTTTATTCCTTTCTGATATCTTATTACTTGTTTCTTTGTAATAAGGCTTTCACTAAAAAGCTTCTTGAAATACTTTTCTGTAAATTTAAAAAATATATCAAGGTTTTATTAAATATTATAAAATAATCTCAAAATATCTTCCATATGTGTCCAAAAATTATAAAAGTTTGTGATTTTTAAGTTTAATTTTTAAAGTTAAAAATTTAGCAATTTCATATTAACTATAAATGAGTTGTGTCTCTCTGTGATTGATGATGATTGAATATTGATTGGATTTTCATGGAAAGATGAACAACAAAAAGTTATGCTCCTCTCCCCATCATATTTTTATTAAAGTGTTTTTTATTGTTTTTTCTCTTCTCTTATGAGGAAGATATAAAAGAAACAACAAACTCATTTACACTATAGAATTAATAAAATCTTGAGCTATTTAAGTAAAATCAATTTACAGAAAGGGATATTCATTTTATTGAGGTGAGGATGTGGTGGAAGTGAACACACTTTCAATTTTCTAAATCCGTTCTAAGTATTTTGTAATTAAAAATTATGAATGTGGACAAATCTCTTAGTTGATATATTAGTGATCATTTTCTGAAGAAATAGGAGTTCCCACCCACCATCTTTCTTTTTATTGACTATATGCCTGATGAAGGTTGAAGAATTGATCAGCCAAGATATAATAACATCACCAAGAATACAAGCATCTTCAGTTGTCCAAGCAAAACTTGGAATCTGAATGACTTTTCTCAAAATTCTGTATAATAAATATATTTGAGTAATAAAAATATATATATATTTCTGCAGTTGAAGCAATTTAAAAAAAAAATTGTTATTTTTTGAGGTTCCCCTCTGAAACCTAGAGAAAGCAGAGAAGATTGGAAATCACTCAAGGATAGATAATTGTCTCTAGTCAAGGACAACAGAGATGCTGGATGGAGAAACACCAATGATTTTTGGCATATTGATTTTGTATTATGTGATGAGTACATTTTAACCTCACCACAACAAAATCAGAGAAAATAGAAGCATTGCCAGAATTGCTGCTTTCCTTTTCCTTATTTGGTAATAAAAGAGAAAAGATGAAATATCAGAAAGTATGAAATAAAATTTGAAATGAAAGTAAGTATTAATTTATCTATAAATGTAAGGCAGTAGTAAGCTAATCAAAAGTTAGAAGATTAATGCTGTGACGTTATTGAATAGTTGTGAAGTGATCAAAATTAGGGATGGGGTGGTGGTGGTAGTGGAGGAGGGGGCGAAGTCAATGAACTTTCCTGTTGAGCCAATAATAAAATGAAGACCTCCTCCCCTGCATTCAAATTTTACACAAACACACACACACATATATATATATGATGTAATATATGAAAACCAGTTGGATACTTAAATTTTTTAAAATTCTGTTAACATTTCATTCAACAAAAAAAAAAAAACATACAAATAGCTTTATATTTCATCTTATATACTTTAAGATATTTCGTATCAGTCATTTTATCATGTGTATATGTGTGTGTATTAGGCAACTAAATGACAAAGTAAAAAAATTCTGTGTAATGTGGTACGCAGAATTTTTCCACTCTGTCATTCAATAGCCTAACATATAGACATATATATGATAAATACATTAATTGATAGAAAAATCATTTATTTTATGCAATAAGTATTTTAAATATAATCTTATTTGTCCATTTAATACCATATTTAATACAGTAGTGAATATTAGCCATAATGTTAAAATATTATACAGTGAAAATTTCAGATCAGAATCTAGCTAATAAGTACATGTAACACTACACCCTTGTATAATCTGATCTTTATAATATGAAACAGAGAAAAAAAAGTTGTTGATTTCTTGCATGTAAAATAAAATTTTGCTTTTAACTTTTTCTGCATGTTAATTTTATATATATATATATATATATATATATATATATATATATATATATATATATATTCTGGCATGTATTCTAAAAACAGGAAATGCTATTAAGAAAAAAAAAAAAAAACTGAAAAACAAACAATTTATTAAAAAATATATATGAAATGCAAAAAGAAATTCAATTTAAATTTGCTTTTACCATTAAAGAAAGAATTAAGTTATTAATGATATATACAAGTTAAATAAAATTCAAATTTCATATTTTATTTTGCAAATGTGTTTACAAATCAATTTTTCCCCTTTCTAGAATTTATCTCATAATATATATTTCAAAAAGTCTCTAAAAAGCAGGAGGTG